TTCAGTAAGAATGTTACCTTCCACATCTCTAATCTCTCGAATCATGTTTTGAGCCTGACGAGATCTTATGGCATTGTAGAAAGTCTTGTTGTTTTGATTACCAACATCCAACCAATGAAGTGTGGATCGTTGCTTAAGAAAATCTTCTTCCAAACTTGCAACATGCAACCACTTCTCATAAGAAGTGGCTTCTTTCTGAGCTGCAGTCTCACAAGGATTTTGAAGTGTACACTTCTGTTTTTCACGTAATAACTCATACGCTACTTTAGTTCTTTTGGTTAATTACCCAGACCTTCCCTTCCTAATTCTATTATCAGAGGCTTAAGGTGTTTGAGCTTCTTTGAAAATCTGTATAATGCAGAGGTAGAATGAAAAAGGACCTCAGTCGTAATCCAAAACTCATGGATCATAGGTAGAAAACTTGGTAAGGTTCCAATGGCTGTTACAAATTTAAAAGGTCTTCGAATTTTTTCCTGAGGTGGCTTCAACTGGATCATACAACGCATATGGTTTGAGAATCCACCAGCTTCAAAAGTTGCGTAAGCATTGGAAAATCTATGAAGAGCAGCATCATTCATCAAACCCTATCAAGCTTCTTACAAATAATTTCTTCACTCTGCTTATTACTCCACTTAAATAAAAGACCCTGATAACCCAAATCAGATAACTGACAATGAAGTATAACCCTCTGAAAGTCCCTCATGCCTCCAGGAACTCTATCCAAACTAGAAAACCTCAAATTCTCTTCTCCATGTAAGATCTCATTAAAGTCACCCATAATCATCCATTCTTTATTTTTAAGCATACCAGAGTTGCAATGATGACATAGATCATCCCACAACTCTTTCCTTTCTTCAATAGCATTTTTTGTGTAAACAAACGTACACAGAAACTCCTCTTCTCCTTCAAACCCTACTGAACAAGTGATCAACTGATCTGACTTGTAAACAGGTCATACGAACAGTATTCCTCCATAATACCCAAATTCTTCTTCTGACTACAATCATAATTTGTCATCATAGATCACTCCTTAAAACCCTCCTTTATTATCTTCTCAGACTTCTTTTCTCTGACTCTTGTTTCCAGAATACCCCCAAACTGCATATCTTTATTACTAATCCACTCCTTAACAACAGAATGCTTTAAAGATTTATTGAATCCTCTCACATTCTAGAAGAAGCACGACATATTAGTTTTTTTTTTCCGAGACGGCCTTGTGCTCTTAGCAGGATTTACATCCTGAGCTTTTGCCTTCTGGCCTCTCTTCCTCCCTTTCTTACTCACTACCTTATCCTTCTCTCTGCTTTGCTGTTCTAATATATCATCTTCTAACTGATGACCGGCTGACAAACTTACATGTTTGCTCTCCTCCATTATTTCCTCATCCTTATTCTCTTGCATCTCAGCATCATTCTCACTCTCCTTCTCTTCTTCTGAATCATCAACAGTTAGGACAGAGAACTTCGAGGCAGAAATCTGAACTTCAGAAACATGACCCCGTGAAGACCTCCCTACTTTCGCTGATGGAACCTTAGACCAGTTATAGTCTCGATTACCATTCTGCGTACCTACTGTCTCCTCCACCTTTTTGTTGCTTCCTTCACTTTGCAAACCCACCTCTGGTACACCCAAGTTTACATCTTTCTCTTCTTCATCCTGGTTCCTTTTCCCACTCCCACCACTCATAGAATAACTTGTACCTTCACTCTTATTCCTTTCTTTACCATTCTTCACACAAACCCTTTCTGTGTGACCCCATTTTCCACACAAATTACATTTCGCTGGCAACCAGGGATAATGAAAAACAAATGTGAACTCCTTTCCATCTTTTGTAAACTCAATCTCTTTTGGTAATGATTTTGAAATGTCAACATTGACAAACACTTTTGCTACCTCCAAATTTATGCAAGATAGCGTCTCCGGATGCACTCTATCAAGAAACCCCACCGTGCTGGTCATAAAACTAATACCCTCCCAAGAATACATATGTAGAGGTACCTTCTTCAGGTGCACCCACATTGGAATTTCATTCTCCTCATGTTTCTCTTCCTCTGTCTTAGGGGTCCATTTAGTCACAACCATATGAACACCAGCTATGTTCCACATACCTCTCTTCAGCATCTTTTCACGAGCTTTAGGGTTTGAAATCCTGAACCGCATCGTCGTAGCATTTACCTCATAGACATCCACCTTCAAAGCTAACTCTCCATAGCTCCATATCTTATTCACCACCATGTGAACCTTCGCCATGTGAGGAGCTAGATCCATAAACTTCCCAACTATTGAATCCGTAAGTGTCTCCTTTGGAATCTCAACCTTGTGCTTCCCATCCTTCATCGATACCTCAACCTCATACTTCGTCAAACTCTTTTTATCCCTTGCTGCCGAAACCCATTTCTTAGCCTCCGTCGTAACCTTGCTCCCATCTTGTTTTCGTTCCAATCGATCACTCCTCCCATCACCTAGATTCTCTGATCTTAGTCCCGGAGGGTTAGAAGCCCCCGACAGATGCGCCGAATCCATCGCGAAAATTTAGGTCACATTCATTCTCACAATCGCCTCAGAATCGCCTTTTCCTTAAACGGTGCGTTTTTCTCTTTAAAAAAAAAATTATTTGGTTTCTACTTATATGATTTATTTGTTTCATATTTCAATTGCAAAACTAACCTGAGATGACTTCCATGTAAGTCGTCTAGGTATAACAAAATATTGATTTTTTTAATTTTCTATTGGGGGACTTACACGTATAAGTCGTCCAAGAAAATTCAAATTTTTGACACCTTACTATCAAATGCAAAACTAACATGTTTTCCCTTGACAACTTACATGTAAGTCGTCTCGAGTTTTTTTTATCAAATAAAGGTGGACGACTTACATGTAAGTCGTCTTGAGTTTTGCATTTGACCAGAATGTGTTAGAAATTTGATTTTTCCTGAACTACTTACACGTAAAACGTCCAGTAGAAAATTAAAAAAAAAATATATATATTTTTTTTTTTCTAGACGACTTAGATGGAAGTCGTCTCAGGTTAGTTTTGCAATTGAAATATCAAACACATTTTTTTTCTAGTCGACTTACTTACACGTAAGTCGACCGTCCGGCGACTTACATGGGATTCGTCCAAGATAAGCAAGGTTTGACCAGAATCTCGAAATAAAATCATGGACGACTTCCATGTAGTTCGTCGGACGGAAGACTTACGTGTATGTAGGTCGTCTAGAAAAAATAAAACTTTTGTTTAATATTTTAATTGCAAACCTAACCTGAGTCTACTTCCATGTAATTCGTCTAGGTATAACAATATATTGATTTTTAGTTTTCTACTGGACGACTTACATGTAATGTGTGCAAGAAAAGTCAAATTTCTGACACATCCGGTCAAATGCAAAACTAACCGTTTTTCCTAGACGATTTACATGTAAGTCGTCTCGAGTTTTTTTCTTATCAAACAAAGGTGGACGACTTCTAGATAAATCGTCTACAGCCAGACGATTTACCTGGAAGTCGTCTGGACGAGCAGATCTGGAAAAAAACTCGATTTCATAGTTTCAACTAGTGAGATAACTTGTTTAGCACACATAAATCTTCTCTAAGCATCCATAATCTCAAACAAAATGACCCACCAAGAATCATAAACTTCAATGGCTCTATGAACTATGAACCATAAAAATTTTAGAATCAAAATCTTGAGTTTGTTGGATGAATATGGAGAAAAAATGAATGAGATATTGTTTTTAGTTCATATGAATTGAGAAAGAAGAAGTGTAAATCGATTTGACGTACATTAATAGTTTCAAATTGGTTATTCATGGTGGTTGATGTATTGATGACAATAATAATCTTATAAATATTTGAAGATGATGGTGTTAAAAAAAAAGAAGTAAAAAAGTCATTTTTGAAAAGAAAAAAAAAATTAATGACATTTTTCGTAAATAATATGGTGAATAAGACAAAAAAAATCCAAAAAAAAACATAAATTAATTTTAAGATTGATTTCATATTTAAGTCAATTTTGCAAATAGCCCTACAATTAAAATATGTGTATCAATCGTGAAAACGAAGCATATATGCTTTTGCAAAGTTATAGTCCTACGGGTACAGAAATAATTTGGGGTAACTGTGGGGACTAAGATGCTGGTTCAATTGTGATAACGAAGTACTGTATTACCCTTTTTATATGAAATTATGAATATAAAATCCGATTTCTCAGTCCCATTCTACCTTGTGAGTTCTACCAAATTTCTTTTCTTTTACAGTGTTGGTTGGTTCACGTATATGGATGGAAAAGTACAAAACGAATATTCTGGTAAATCTCGGTTTGTAAAGTTTGTTTGTTGACTTGACTCCATCACAGCTATTGACTCCAAGCCTAATCTCTTGGCTCCGTTAAGGACTCCCCTTCTTAACTTTATGTTTCGGACACGTTTTTTTGGTTATTGCTCAGGCCATTTCACACTCAAGTAGCTTTGATCATTTGACCAGCTTTCAGGGTCTTACAAAGTCAACGCCTTATCTTCCAAACCTTTGGCTCTTGGATCCGTTAAAGAGCACATGCAGAGAAAACCCACATGGTCTCTTGGTGTTTTTTTTGTTTTTGTTTTTGTCAACCACGCATATAAAAACATGCAGTTTGAAGCTTTTCCTTTTAATTCCAAAATCTAAACACAAGCCTTGGACTCTGTTTTTCAATTTCAAAGTTTATGTTATAATAACAGAGAATCTTAAGACCATTTTCTTTGTTTCCTAAATTACCTCTTATGATCTGTTGATGCAATACAGTGTGTATGAGTCCATATCATTAGTTGTGATAGTAATAGCCTTGATCCTTATAATCATTTTTTTCCACGAGTGAGAGGTCTCTATGTCTTGCCGTCTTCTTTGACCAACTTGTAGGTTCGATAGGAGTCAACGACTCTGTCATTTTCTCAATGCATAAATCTGCAGAAAAATCCGTACCGTATTTGAGGTTGACCTTCTCTAACTTCTAACAATCTAACTTCGAAAAACCTAAGCTTCATATTCTGATCTATGAGAATATGAAGCTCCGGACTTCAATTTTACCCATCTTCTTCTTTTCCCTTATAACCTTGGGTTCTGCACAAGAAGTCTGCTTCAATGGCTTCTTTAAACCCAACTCTACTTACGACTTAAACCGTCGTATAGTCCTCTCTTCTCTTGCTTCTAATGTCACGTCTCACAACGGCTTCTTCAACTCCTCCATCGGTCAAAACCCAAACACTATCTTTATCCTTGCCATGTGTATCCCTGGAACTAAACCAGAGACTTGTTCAGATTGCATCAAAGCTGCATCAGACAGCCTGTCACAAAGCTGTCCTAATCAGACAGAAGCTTATACATGGCCAGATTCTTGTATGGTACGTTATTCCAACTTTTCCTTCTATGGATCATACGATATTGGACCATCTCAAGAGCTGTACGAAACAGGAGATATCAACTCTAATGTAACGGTATTCGATAGAATCGGGGAAGACTTAATGGAACGTACGTTAGCTGAAGCTCCTTCGAGAACTCATGGACATAAGTATTATGCAGCTGGTGGTGCTTCCTTGACAACTTCCCTAACTATGTACGGGATGATGCAATGTACACCTGAGCTTTCTCCAGGGTTTTGTGGGTATTGTCTTAGGTCCAACCTTGATAATTATAAGTTATGTTGTCGCGATAAACAAGGTGGTTCTATTACAAGACCGATGTGCTTTATCCGGTGGGATTTGCATCCTTTTGCTGGAGCTTTTGAGAATGTTACATTGTCACCGCCTCAACCAAAAGCTTTACCTCAGCCACCTCTTTCTTTGACTACTCCAGTAAGCGATCAGGCTAGTAAAACCGGAAAAGGTAAACATTGTAACAAGAACATTGGTGAAACTAAAAGTGAAACTGGAAAACTAATTTGGAATGATTGTTTGTGATTTGACGGTTTATGCAGATGGAAAAACAATTTCGATAGGAACTATTGTGGCAGTTATTGTCCCTATTCTCGTTATCTTGGTACTACTTGTTGTAGGGTTTGTTGTTTTCAAGAGAAGTAAAGCATATAAAACAGTTACAGTTCAAGGTTGGTTGGTTTCTCTTATGCAGCTACAATAAGTAACAAAAAATTGGATATTGAAGAAGATGTTTCTATATTTTTGTGCAGTTGGTGATGAGGTCATACCAATAAACTCAATGAAATTCAAATTTAAGACGATTGAAGCTGCCACTGATAAGTTTTCAGACAGTAACTTGATTGGGCAAGGTGGATTTGGTGAAGTTTACAGGGTAACTAGTTCTTTCTTTGCCTAGATTTCTACTTGTAACTTATCTGTAATGAAACAATAAGCTTCTTGTGTTTTGTAGGGAAAGCTTTCAAGTGGAACTGAAGTAGCTGTGAAGAGGCTATCGAAAACATCTGGACAAGGCGCGAAAGAATTCAAGAATGAGGCTCTTCTTGGCGCAAAGCTTCAGCACAGGAACCTAGTTAGACTTCTTGGATTTTGTGTAGAAGGAGAAGAAAAGATACTTCTCTACGAATTTGTACCCAACAAAAGCCTCGACTATTTTCTATTTGGTATGATATGAACTTACTCAATACATAAAAGTTGCAAAGAGTTCTTATTGTAGCTAACGGAACTTTATTTATATGCAATGTGTAGACCCTAGAAGGCAAGGTGAACTGGATTGGACGAAACGGTGCAATATTATTAAAGGGATTGCTCGTGGGCTTCAATATCTTCATTATGATTCACATCCTACGATCATACACCGTGATCTCAAAGCGAGTAACATCCTCTTAGATGCTGATATGAACCCCAAAATTGCAGATTTTGGCACCGCAAGGAGTTTTGGAGCTGACCAAAGTAAAGCCAACACAAAAACAATCGTTGGAACATAGTAAATTTTTTTATCTTAATAAATTTTAAAGCTACTATTGTGATTGCTTTGTAGGTTTAAAATGTTTCTTTATATTACAGTGGTTATATGTCCCCAGAGTATGCAATGCGTGGACATTTCTCTATGAAATCTGATGTCTATAGCTTTGGAATATTGGTTCTGGAGATTATAAGTGGCAAAATGAATAGCAGCTTCTACCATATTGATGATGCTGACAGCAATTTGGTCATACATGTGAGTCTATGATCTTTCAGTTTACATGTGTATGATAAACCAACGGATGTTAACTTAATTGGCCACATATGTTATTGTTAGGCTTGGAGGCTTTGGAGAAATAAGTCGCCATTAAAACTACTGGATACAACAATGGGAGAGAGTTATCAAAATGACGAAGTTCTTAGATGCATCCATATTGCAGTGCTGTGTATTCAAGAAGATCCTGCAGATCGTCCAACGTTGCCAGCAATCATACTGATGCTCATTGATAGCATAAGCACTTTACCTGTGCCTCGGACACCTAGATTTTGCCTCTCAATCATAGGTGATTTTTCCTCCCAATCCACACACAATTCTATCATTGATGCCTCGATTGGAGATTCAGATCTTCCTTGAAGAATGAAGTTTTTTAGATACTATAACTGTAATAAAGCTATGGAATTATCATTACCTTCTCCTGTTTCTTGCCATTAGTCTACTTTGTGAGACATTTAAAGAAAGACATATACAATGTTTGAGATGATTTGTAGACATATACATGAGGGTTTGATTGGGATGATTTGTAGCTTTATATACTTTGATCTAGAACTCTAGCTGTAAATATTTTTGCTGTAAGATTTTGATTCTGTTTTAAGAATATTTAATTTTCACTTGTAAACTTTCTAAAGGCAATATATAACTGTGCTAGGAAGTGTGTGCTTAACATTTTAGGGGATCAAAGCAAAGATCTTAAAATTTAAAATGTAGGAAAATATAATTAATATACCAACAAAAATATATCCAAACTTCTTATACACATTAATTTTAGCAGAAAGACAAAAATATAATAGTAAAATTTAATATAAAATTATATAGGTGATTTTTAATATATTTATCATATATATATGTATACTAGGTGAGATCCGTACCTTGAACGGAGTGAAATATTTTTGATCAAAAAAATATTTGGAATTTTTGTTCTTTCATCCAGTTTGAAAACATATATTATAAATGACATAGTTACGTAAAAAGGATGTAATGTGTTTGAATTGTAAGTGGAAAACATGGAAAAATAAAGTGCTTAGTATCGAATATACGACATGTGTGAGTGGTTTAAAAATGATGAGACTAAGTTTATAGTTTTGAAATATTAAAATATTGTGTTTGTAAAAATTAAGATTTTTCGAATGCGAATATTAAAAAATGATGAATATTAAACAGTTTTGTTTTTTTTTTTTGTCGACAAATCCATTAAAATTATTTGCGAGAAGCCCTAGCGGAGAAAGAGAGGAGTGCGGCGGTGACTTTCTGAGATCGTGATCTTCTTTGGGACCATGATCCTCCCATGATCTGGTATCCTTTGATACGAGATTATCATTCCGTGATCCGCTTCCTGTATGCATAACCTATTGTTCAAGTATCAAGGCAATTCACGTGAGACCTAACTCTCTGAGGCGGCGACTGGAATGGCGATGAAGAACCCTGGCTCTGATGTTCCTCTCTCTGCTTAAGATCTTTTCACTCCTTGGTGGTAGATTGGTAGGGAAATCTCCGGTTTCGACTCATCATCATCTGCTTCAAGTTCGTTTACGTTTGGGAACGACCATTGTTGTTTCCTTATTTAGTACGGAAACTTATCATCATCACAGCGACGCTATCTTCCAATCTCCCTTGAGATCCTTATGTTCTGTTCATCCGATCTCGTTCTCATCGTCCTTTGACATGGGATCTCGATCTCGTTCTCCTTTGCTGTTTCGTTGATATCGTCATTGTTAGTCATCGCTACACACGTCGATAATCATCGTTGAGCACACTGTGGAGCGACATCTCTAGTGGTTTTGACAAGCTTCTCTGTGTTTTACTTCTTGAACAATCAACTGAGTGTGGTGGTTCTTCTCGGGACCTAAATGCACTAAACGACTTCTCTTGTATTTGTGTGATCTGTGGGCTACGTTCCTTTGAACAGGACGATAAGGTTGCTGCGGTTATTTGATCTCATCACTCTCTGATTTTGGTTGTTTCTCTGCTATTCTCATATTGAAAACAGAGCAATCCGTGTGTCTACGGATAAATTGGCTACAAGTTATGTCTTTTCCCATTGGAGTTCCTAGGAAGAAAGAGGTTCTCTGTCTTGGGGATCTCCTCGGCTGCGAGTCCTAAGTTCTAATACTTAGAGGCACCTTAGTGATAAGGCTAAATCAAAGCATTCTAGTCATATTGTTAGAGAGGATCGGTCTAAGTCAAACAAAGCAAGTGGTTCGGTGGGATCCAAAAACCCACCCCACTTTCATCCATGAGGACACTCAGTTGGAACTGTCGAGGGATTGGGACTGACCTCATAGTTTGACGTCTTACGGAGATGTGTCAAAAGCATCGCCCAGGACTAGTGTTCCTTTCTGAAACTAAGAATAGGAGGCTGCTGTTGCAAGACATTCAGGCGGACTTAGGATTTGATCGTTTGTTTACCGTTGAGCCAAATGGGCTCAGCGGTGGGTTAGCTTTATTTTTTATTGATGATTTTCAAGTTAAGATTTTGTTTTCGAATAATAGAATGATTGACATTGAGGCAGTCATTGATGGAATAAAAGTCTATATGACATTTGTTTATGGGGATCCTGTCGTTGAACGAAGAGAATTAGTTTGGGAACATCTTACGCGTTTCTCAACAACAAGAAATGGACCTTGGTTTATGATTGGTGATTAATGAAATTACTTGTCATGAAGAGAAGGAAGGAGGCAGACAACGCACAGATAGCGTTCTTACCTTTCAAGCAGATGCTCAGTGATTGTGGAATGCTAGACTTTCCTTTCACAGGAAACATGCTTTCATGGGTAGGAAGAAGAGCAGGAAATGCTACCGTTAGATGTCGACTTGATAGGGCTATGGGTAATGAGAACTGGCATGAGAAATTTCCTCATTCTAAAGTGCAGTATCTGAGGCTTTGGGGTTCGGATCATCGTCCAATCCTGGCAGACATTCTTAAAAAGAAGCCACGGAGATCGAAAAACTTTAAATTTGATAAGAGATGGCTTCAGAATGAGGAACTCAGGCAGATTATACTTGAAGGATGGAAATCACCAGACCTACCACCGGGTGCAAGTATTATGGAGCATATTACGAGCTGCAGGCGGGCATTATGTGATTGGAAAAGGCAACACAATCTGAATTCAGAGAAAAGTGTAGAGGAGTTAAAGGAAAAGGTGGATCGTTTATCCTCCAATGATGATGCCACTACAGAGGAGATAGCGGCGGCTCTAAAAGAATTGTCTGATGCCCTTAAGGCAGAGGAATTATTCTGGAAACAGAAGTGTAGGGTATTCTGGTTAAGGGAGGGAGATAGAAACACTAAATTTTTCCATGCTTTAACAAAGCAGCGAAGAGCGTGGAACAGGATAACCCAACTATTAGATGCAGATGGGAATGTTGTGGAGGATGACGAAGGCCTGGTAGCCATTGCTACTAGTTACTTTCGCCAAATCTTCCAATCGTCGAACCCTGAGGAGATTGAGGAGGCACTTTCAGAAGTTACTACTACAATTACGCCTGCAGATAATGAGGGTCTCACAGCTCCGGTTTCAGAGTGGGAAGTTAAATTAGCTCTCTTTGCTATGCATCCTGAGAAAGCTCCTGGACCTGACGGAATGACAGCCCTGTTCTATCAAAAATTTTGGGATATCGTTAAGGATGATTTAACTCGTATGGTTAATGAATTCCTATTTCAAGGGACTATTGCGACTAGTCTCAATGATACTAATATATGCCTTATCCCAAAAGTTGATAAGCCAAACCAGATGAGTCAGCTACGACCCATTAGTCTTTGTAATGTCTGCTACAAGATTATCTCCAAGGTCTTATGCCAAAGACTAAAAAAGGTACTTCCAGATAGGATTTCTGAAACCCAGTCAGCCTTTGTTGCTGGGAGACAGATATCAGACAACATAATGATAGCCCATGAATTATTCCATGCTCTAAGAACAAAACTAAGTGGGCGCAATAAGAGGATGGCCATCAAAACGGATATGAGCAAGGCATATGATCGTATGGAATGGTCTTTCATTGAAGCCACCATGAGGAAGATGGGTTTCTCAGAAGTCTGGATTACCTGGATTATGCGATGTGTAACAACAATAAAGTACAAGGTACTTATGAATGGACAGCCAAGAGGGAATATTGTCCCGGAGAGAGGTCTACGTCAGGGAGATCCTTTGTCTCCTTTCTTTTTTATTCTATGCACGGAAGCGCTCGTTAGCCTTCTTAATCACGCAGAGAATCAGGGAAAGATAACAGGGATGCGCATCACGCGTGCGTGTCCGTCGGTATCCCACCTACTCTTTGCTGATGATAGCCTTTTCTTTTGTAAGGCGGAGCCCCGTGAATGTGAAGAAGTAATGAAAGTGGTTAGGATATATGGACAAGCCTCTGGACAATGCATTAATTTTGACAAGTCTTCTATACTCTTTGGTAAGAGGATTGGTCAAGAGGCCAGGCAGGAGATCAAAGATACACTTGAGATCCAAAATGAAGCATGAATGGGAACTTACCTAGGGATACCAGAGGATTTCAGTGGCTCGAAATGTAAGCTGTTTGTCTTCTTAAAAGATAAACTTCGGAATAGAGTGAATGGATGGACGGGCAGGTGGCTATCTAAAGGTGGAAAGGAAGTAATGATAAAGTCAATCCTGTTAGCTCTCCCAACCTATGTTATGTCTTGCTTTTTGCTCCCTTTGGAGATATGTGATGCCTTGGCTAGTGCCATTGCACAGTTTTGGTGGAGCTCAAACCCACCAAAGAGAGGCTTACACTGGACAACATGGGATAAGTTATGTCTATCTAAAGAGGAAGGAGGAATTGGTTTCAGGATGATTCATGAGTTTAACCTGGCATTACTAGCAAAACAGTTGTGGAGATTGGCCCAAAATCCAGATTCCTTGGTAGCTCGAGTTATGAGAGGGCGGTATTATCGTCTAAGTTCGCCTTTGCGAAAGCTCACTGTCAACAGCCCATCATATGTGTGGACAAGCATCTCGGCTACACGGGAATTATTGCTATTGGGGGTTAGACAGAAAATTCACTCAGGCTATGATGTAAAGGTATGGGAGGACACATGGATTCCTACAATCCCAGCGAGACCAGCGCACGCATCCGCTCCGGTTATGCATCCGAGCATGAGAGTAAGTGATCTTATCAATCAAAAACAAAGTCTTGGGATCTGGACCGACTGGCAAATTATGTTGACGCTGCTGATGTACCTCTCATAAGGAGTATGGCAATTAGTTCAACCCATCGCAGAGACACACATTGCTGGAGTTACACAAGGAGTGGACAATACACACTCAAGTCTGGCTATTGGGTAGCTCAAAATATACTAATGAAGGAGGAAGAGAACATAGTAGATGAACCTAGCATCAAAAGGCTCCAATCACAGGTCTGGAAGGTTAAAGCACCCCCGAAGATGTGCCATCTTATGTGGCAGATTATATCGGGGCAGGTGGCTGTTATGAGTGCGCTGAATCATAGACACATGAGATGTGATAATTTCTGCCCATGATGCGGAGAACCGGATGAAACAATTGCACATGCAATTTTCCAATGCCCACCGGCCTTACAGGTATGGGCCTTAGCATCTATACCCACCAGTCCAACTTTGTTCCCTTTGGAGAGCACATATGCGAATATGGATTATCTATTCTGGCTGAAG